GAAAAAAGCCAAAAGTGGCACTGTGGCTCAAGTGGTAGAGCGCTAGCCTTGAGCTGAAAAGCTGAGGGACAGTGCCCAGGCCCAGAGTTCAGGCCCCATGACCGGACCCCAAAAAAAAAAAAAAAAGAAAAGGCCAGAGGTGGTGTTGTGGCTCAAGTGGTAGAGTACTAGTCTTGAGCAAAAGAAGCTCAGGGACAGTGCTCAGGCCCTGAGTTCAAACCCCAGGACTGGTTAAAAAAAAAAAAAGTCAAGTATGCACCTGAAAAAGATATTCAGTATCATTAATAGAAATAGGAAAATGCAAATCAAGGGTGCAGTAAAATATCACTACATACTTACTAGCATAATACTTGTATTTTTTCAAAAGAATAGCCAGTATTGATGAAGACGGAGAAATATCGGAACCTTTGGTACATTACTTTTAAGGAGGGTGCCCCAAAGCATGTATGTAAAAATTAAACATACAGTTACCATCTCATGTAGTAATTTCACTTCTCAAAACAGAATTGAGAAGATTCAAATAAGTATGTGTACTCTAGTGTTCATTACATTATAATGTACAGTAGTCAGAAACAATTGACCATCAATGGATGATAAGATAAACAATATATGATGTGTATATGATAAAATATTATGCAGCTTAGCAAAGGAATGGGATTCTGATACCTGGTGCAATTGAATGAAATAGGAGTCCCTAGAGTTTGTGAAATGGAGATTAAGGATGAAATAGTGCTGACCAATGACTGGGACCACACATAGTGGAGAATTACTATTCATGGGGCCAAGTGTGGGTGATAAAAGGTTCTAGAATGAATAGTGCTGGTGGTTGCACTGCAGTGTTAATGTACTAAATGTACTGAATTGGAGTAAGAATTGTTAGAATGGTCTCTTTTATGTATGCTCTACTACCATAGAAAGTTGAACACTTTTAATAGTTTCTTAATATTTGAACATTTATAAAATTTATTAAAAATTATTACTTCTGTTGTTCTTTTATGTGGGTTTGGCAGATAGGGAGGCTTTTGTTATAAATGATTATGATTACAAAGTATGTATATAAATCTTATAAAAGTATTAGATCAAATGGTATATATACATATTCAAGTTTCCTGATTTTATAAAGTCACATTAATTTCAGAAAGATGTTTTATCTTTAACAGACAAAGTCTGTCAACACCCCCCCACCTCAGCCTCACAAGTACTAGGATTTCAGGCATGTACACAACATATCAGAGGCCCGGCACCTTAATTTTGAGTGAAGATTCAAGTCTAAATTATGTAGAAGAAATTTTGTGTATCCATACATTAACTCACATTTCTTTATATAATTACTCTTTTTTTGTGTGTCAGTACTGAGGCATGAACTCAAGGCCTCTAGATCTTGCTCAGCAATTTGCTCAAGATTGAGCCATACCTCCAGTTCTGGCTTTTTGCTGATTAACAGGAGATGAAGTCTCTCAAATTTGTCTGCCCAGGCTGTCTTTGAACTGTGATCCTCCAATCTCAACCTCCTAAGTAGCTAGGATTACATGCATGAGCCAGCAGCACCCACCTTATAATGATTTCTTTAAATCATTTACCTGGCTTTTTATAGCACACAGATTAAGACAGACAAGTTTTTCTAATTGGCCGTTTTGATACATATGTACATTATATAATGACCACATTGTATTAGCATATCATCATTTTTTGTGGTAAGAGCATTTAGAATTCACTCTTAACTAGTCATTTCATCACCATATTATGGAATATCGTAATTTATCCCTCCATTAGCCGAATATCATCCTTTCCTTACACTCAGCCTGGTAATCAGAGGCTGGTCTTTTTTTTTCTGTGAGTTTAAATTTTTGAAATTCCACTTATAAGTCAGAATGTACAACATTTGTCTCTGCACCTGGCTTACTTTGCCTTAGCCTAATACCCTCTATCATGTTGTTACAAATTCCCTGGTTTTTAAAGGCTGAATAGCATCCCATTGTGGTTATATACCTTTTTTTTTTTTTGTCTAGTTGTCAGTTGGTGGACACAAGTTATTTCCATATCTAGCTGTAGTGAATAGGGGTATAAGTGAACACAGGAATGCCCAAGTCTCATTTCATATCCTTTGGGTGTGTGCCCTACAGTGGGAGTCTGGCTGTTGCTAATGTATAATACACAGTGTTGTATGAGACACTATCAGGTGATACAGATGATATTATATTAAGTGTTTAAAATATTTAATATGTTACAAAATAATCATAAAGTAGAAAAGCATTGTTATTTCAGGAAGACAAACTATCTTTTAAATCCTATTTTCTCTTTAGGAATGATTTCTTGAACTTAGTAAACTGAAGAAGTGTTTTATTGTTGATTTCTTTCCTGCTGAAATTTAGAATTTTGCCAATCATTTACAGAAACTGACTTCTAAGAAATCACGTTATATAATTACTTGCTTAGCATATAATCACAAGGAATCAGTTGTACTCAATTCTAATTTCTATCTTTTAGGAATGGGAAAGGGTATAAATATGAGGCAAAAGGGTTTTAAATATGAAGTTTTTGTTTTACGTTTTGTTTTAAGCATGTTCAGTAAAGAGTGAGGTTGTACTTAATCATTTGTAAACATTTTATCAAGAATTAAGGTTCTTGCCATTGATAAATGGCTCACATCTATAATCCTAGCTACTCAAGAGTCTGAGATCAGAAGATCTTGGATTGAAGCCATCCTAGACAGAAAAGTTAGTGAGACTCCATCTCCAGTTAACCAGCTAACTGCCAGACTGGAGGTATGGTTCAAGTGGTAGAGCACTAGCCATGAGCAGGCAAGCTGTGTGAGAAAACAAGTTCCTGAGTTCAAGTCCCAGGCCTGCCAAAAAGAGAAAAGGGAAGGAGTGAGGGAGGGAGGGAGAAAGAAAGAAAGAAAAAGGAAGGAGTGGCTATCAACATGTTGAGGTATGACACAATGTACATTATTATTTTGATTTTAAGCAGCACATTCCCATACATGGTTTCACTGGAGGGCTTCACAAAAATGAAACAAAACAAAAACATTATTTTAAAGATTATGTTCAGATACTGAGCCAAGTCTCAATATGTATTTGCATAGGAAATTTCAAGTTGCCTTAGAAATTTTATCATACCACATTTGATGGATTTCAGAAACAGGGATCGTATTATTTTGGATGGAAAGTTAATTATTCCAGAGAAGAAAGGAGGACAAAAAGAAATCCTGTACAAATGATGTCTTAAATTTTGAAACTGCCAACTTTTTATTTAGATTACTTTGTACTTAATGATTTGGTTGGATATACATTCTGCATTTTTAAGTACTTAATATAAAAAGGATAGGTGTGTTTTGTGTTTTTTTAGTTAGTCATGGGGCTTGAACCTGGGGCTTGGGCATGGTTCCCTAAGCTCTTTTGCTCAAAGCTAGTGCTCTGTGTACACACACACACACACACACACACACACACACTCAAAGCTAGTGCTCTTCAGACACACAGACACACACCACATGCTCAAAGCTAGTGCTCTTCATACACACACACAGAGCCAGGCTCAGAGAAGCTTAAAATAATACACAATAAAATCTCTACATCTTTGCAATAGTTTGAAAGATGGTAGTAGTCCATTCCACCAAAGACTTACATGTCTAAAATTACTCTAAAATATACAAAGAGATCCTCTTCTGAGTTTGGACCTAGGCTAGTCCCTCATTCACAAAGCATATGACAGGAACAGTAGGTGAGGCTTTAGGCCATAACAGTAATGAGGTGGCTAACTCCATCTTTGAAGTTTGGGAAGATCAGTAAGTGGGAAGCTAAAAGGCAGGTGTTCAGAGAAGTTAAAGAGTAGATAATTTGTAGACAAAGTTACATTTCTGAAAATTGGTATTACAAACTAAGAAATGGCAAACTTTGCCCACCTTTTGGGTACTCAGGAAATAGTAAAGTAGAAAGAAAAGATATATTCTTTAAGGAAAAAGACATGTGCTGATCAATTGGAAAAGATACGTGCAATGGGGCTCAATTACTAAGATTCATATAACAGTAGGCTTAACTTAGGACTCTGCTTCTAGGTAATAATTTTTTGAGTGTCAAAATGTCTTTTCCCCCTCATTTTTATTAACATCAATTAGTTATACAACAGGGTTTCATTTGACATATTTGTATACACAGTGTCCCTTGATGGGACTCAACTATTCCATCACTCTCCCTCAGCCCTCTTCCCCCCACCCCATATGTGGTGCTGAGGAATCGAACCCAGGGCCTCATGCATGCAAGGTAAGCGCTCTACCCATGAGACACCTTCCCAGCCCTCCCTCAGCCCTCTTCACAAACCGGTTTCACCAAGCTTCATTATTCCATTTCCATACATGAAGTTTTTTGACCCTCCTTCTCCCTCTCCATTCTCTCTCTAAAGTCACATTTTTATATAAACTTTATATTGGTTATTACCTCTTAAAACATTCTTCTGAGTCAGAAGTAAGCAAATATTTTCTGCTTAAAGGCCAGGCCACAATAGAAAACATTTTAGACTTTGTAATTCATCTATTCTTGTCACAAAAACTCTGTAATTTAATGGGAAAGAAGCTATAGAAAATGCATAAATGGGGGCTGGGAAGTTGGCTCAGTGGTAGAGCGCTTGCCTTGCATGCCTGAGGCCCTGGGTTCGATTCCTCAGCACCACATAAGCAAAAAGAAAAAAACCGGAAGTGGCACTGTGGCTCAAGTGGTAGAGTGCTAGCCTTGAGCTGAAGAGCTGAGGGACAGCGCGCAGGCCCAGAGTTCAGGCCCCACGACTAGACCCCCCCAAAAAAAGAAAAGAAAATGCATAAATGAGAATAGCTTGTGGCCCCCCCAAAAAATTTATTTACAAACATAAAGCTGGTCAGATTTAGCTAAAAGGTGTAATTTACCAACCCCTGCACTAAGAAAAATCATACACACTACTTTATGTACATTAGTCTTAATTTTATACCTTATAACCTCTGTACAAATTTGGAATGTTATTTTACTTAGTTACTTCACGGAAGCCAAGGGAAGATGAAAAAGATGGCCAAGCATATAAATTTGTGTCACGATCAGAGATGGAAGCAGATATTAAAGCTGGAAAGTATTTGGAGCATGGGGAATATGAAGGAAACCTCTACGGAACGAAGATAGACTCTATTCTTGAAGTTGTCCAAACTGGACGGACATGTATTTTGGATGTCAACCCACAAGTGAGCTGCATAGATTCCAAAGCTGTTTTAAATTTTTTATTTCCTGGGAAGTTTTTGCTTCTACATATGCTAGATGAGAGTGTTTGCTTTCTTAAACAGAGACAACTTTTTCTCTCTTAACTTTCGGTAACAGAGAACATCATTATGCATCGATAGTTTGTTAAGTAAATAATTATCTGATCAATTAGCCAGTAGGGCTTTAAATAGCAATAGAAATCTTGTGATTAAATAAGTTTAATGTTTTACTTGTTTATGTAATACATGAGTGCATATGTCAGGAAATACTAAATTTAAAACTCAAAGCTGCAACATAAGGAATCAATTCTCTTTCCATATCTATCTTACTCACCCCTTCCGATTCCGCTGCACTCAGCTCAGCCTTTCTACTCAGATAAAGAAGTACTTAGTGTATATCTTTCTAGTCATTTTAGAATGCTGTAAATGCAGATATATACAGACTATAACTGATTTTCTATTTTTTGTCACTTTATATAAGTGGACTGATAACATGCAGATTCTTTAGCATTTTTATTCTTGATCTCTTCATTGTCAGTTTCTGAAAAGCTGTTTTTATTCGTTGTAGTAGCTGCATAGAATTTCATTGAATGTACAGTCACTTAATTCTGAAGTTATTTCTGCTTTTTCAATATTAACAGAAATTGACAGCTCTCTTAGAGTTTACATCAATCATTTTTCTGTTAATTTTTACACTTTTCAAGAAGAGTGAGACCAGATTCACAACAAAATGGACCACTGTTTCAGGAAAGTAGGGTAGAGTGAGGGCAGATGGTAAATGATATCCTTAATTCTTAGAGCTAGAGCAGGTAGACTTTGGTTTACGCTAAATGACAGTGTACTTTAGATTCTAGTGCTCTATACATTGGTTTCTAATTATGCTTCTACCCAGGCACTGAAAGTGTTGAGGACTTCAGAGTTCATGCCGTATGTGGTCTTTATTGCTGCCCCAGAGCTGGAGACACTGCGTGCCATGCACAAGGCTGTGGTGGATGCAGGGATCACCACCAAGCTTCTGACAGTAAGTGCTGCTTTGCAGGCAGGCAGTTTTATTTTCCCCAGATTGTTTCCTTTCTCTTTTCATCTGAGTATGCTGCATTCCATCTAATAGTATCTAAACATACTATACAAGATATTATAGAATAAAGATTAATTCACTAGACTTAGTTAGAATGTGGAAACAGTGTTGCTTTTAATTGAGAGTCCTTATTTTATGTATTTTTTTATTTATCGGATATGGGACTTGAACCTGGCCTGGACGCTGTCCCTCAGCTCTTCAGCTCAAGGCTAGCACTCTAACTTGAGCCACAGCACCTCTTCCCATTTTCTGTTTGGTTTGCTGGAGATAAGAGTCTCACAGACTTTCTGCCTGGGCTGGCTTTGAACCATGATCCTCAGATCTCAGCCTCCTGAATAGCTAGGAATACAGGCGTGAGCCACAGGTGCCTAGCAAGAATCCTTACTTTAAAACAAAAGTTGTGGGCTGGGAAGGTGGCTCAGTGGTAGAGCGCTTGCCTTGCATGCATGAGGCCCTGGGTTCGATTCCTCAGCACCACATAAGCAAAAAGAAAAAAGCCAGAAGTGGTGCAGTGGCTCAAGTGGTAGAGCCTTGAGCTGAAGAGCTGAGGGACAGCACCCAGGCCCAGAGTTCAGGCCCCACGACCAGACCCCAAAAACAAAACAAAAAAAAAAGTTGCCTGTCTTTTATAAAAAATGAAAAGCATTATACTAAGATATGCATATTAATTCAGCCCTCTCAGTTTACTAATAAGGAAATGAGGCCTCAAGATGTTTAACAAACATGTTCATCCGATGCCTTCTTTCTAGTAGGGTCCCATGTTCTCTGTTTAGTTTCTGTGACAGGCTTCTCTTTTCATATTGTAGAAAAGAGAAAGATACATTCACAAAAAGGCCAAATGACCCTCCTGTGCCTATCCCCTAGCTTTAATAATACCTAGCCATTCTTGTTTCCATTCTCTCTGTTTTCTCCATTGGCTTGATTTATTTTGAAGCAAATTTCTGATATCCATGGCATCTATACTTTATTATTTATTTCTAAAACACAAGAACTTCTTTAGAAACAAGATCATAACATTACTAATTTAAAAAAACAGTATTATAATGTTAATATCTCTTCTATGTTTTAATTTCTAAACCTTAGAATTTTTTATAGTTGATTTGTTCTAACCAGGGTCCAAATAAGATCAACACATTGCATTTACTTAGTGTCTCCTTAATCTCTTATTTTTTTCAGCTTAATTGATGTATAATTGATATCTCTAAAAGTATCCAGTTGATAAGTTTGGGCATATGCATGCATTCATGAAACCTATCAACCAAAATACTGATGTTCTTTAAAACTTCACACTTTTCCTGTGCTTCTTTATAAAAATCCCTGTACCACCATCCCCCGCTTCACTTTGCTCTTCCCATCCTATATAGCAGATAAGGTGCCTTCAAATCAAGTGATCTAAGTCCTCTTAGCTCTTTTTTTTTTTTTTTTTTTTGGGTTCAGTCATGGGGCCTGAACTCTGGGCCTGGGCACTATCCCTCAGCTCTTCAGCTCAAGGCTAGCGCTCTACCACCTGAGCCACAGCACCACTTCCGGCTTTTTTCTTTTTGCTTATGTGGTGCTGAGGAATCGAACCCAGGGCCTCAGGCATAGAAGGCAAGTGCTCTACCATTGAGCCACTTTCCCAGCCTGTCTCTTAGCTCTTTTAAATTGCTCCATCTCTTAACTTTCTGAAATATACTTACAATAAATACTTAATGTTGTTGTCTACTACTAACTGTAATGTTACCAGTTCTGGGCCACTTGGAGTAAATAACTGATTTTTCTCATTGTGGGCTGTATTTTCCTCCTTTTTTTTTCCCCCATACCTGTCCTGGGGATTGAGTTCAGGACCTGGGCATTGTCCCTAAAATTTTTTGCCTCAAGCCTAATTGTTTTATCAACTTGAGCCACAGCTCCACTTCTGGCTTTTTTTTTTTTTTCTGGTCATTTGGAGCCAGGAGTCATGGACTTCCTGCTCAGACTAACTTTGAACCACAGTCTTCAGATCTCAGCCTCCTGAGCAGCACTTGGCTTCTTCCTACTCCTTAAAAAAAAAATTATTGTCCTTAAGTAGTTGTATAGAGGAATTTTAGTATGTCTTTGCAGCGCTGATCTTTTATACTAGGCATGAATTTTCTAAGTTGCAGTTATTTGGAATTACCCTTTTTCTCAGGTCTGGCTTTTTAAATTCTCATTCTAGGGCCCATTATTTTCTACTGTGGATGAGACCTGTTTGGTGCTCTATTTCTATATGGCCAGTAAATTTTCAGGGTTTCTATTCTGATAGGAACAAATATGTTCTCATATGGTGCTGTTTTTTGTTTTGTTTTTACCTCTGATGTTCTATTCTTAACTGTCTCCCTTGGGCTCTTCCTGGGCTCCCCATCTAGAAACTCTTTTCAAGGCATTAAACTGGAGTAATCTCAGAGTACCCTTCATTTCGTTCTTCTTTCTTTACGATCTCTGGCCTTCATTGCCTGATGTAGTTCTTTCAAGGTAGTGTTTGACATTTTTACCCATGGTAGGTTGCCATGTGGCAGCATTAGTCTAGTTCTTGTTATGCTACCTTTTAGGTCTCTTTTAATCAATAAGTTCCCACTAGATTTCTCTGTGTCCTCTCTTTTGACACTGTGATTGATTTGTTCAAAACATTAAGTCATTTGTCCTATAGGGTCTTCCTCATATCCATTTGTTTTCCATAAACTTACTGGTAGACAGAGAGGCCTGGTCAGAATGCTTATTCAGGTTTGCTGCTTGGTTTTTGAAAAGTCCATTTGTAATTAGCACTTGTTTCATTACATCATTAAGCATATGTCAGGCTCTCTTCTGTGATAGGGTCAAACAATGGGTTCAGAGGTTGTGTGATCTAGAAAGTTCCCTAGTAGCATTTCACTTAATGATTTCAACAAATTTTAAACCTTTACCTGAATCAGTTACGTTTTTAGGGGTGGCAAAGTAATAATCTAAATTCATTATTCTTTAATTTATAAACCAGAGCACTTGTGTGTGGGTATGTGTGTGTGTATATATGCCTAAATTGGAGCTTGAACTAAGGATCTTGTACTCTTACTTAACTTTTCACTCACACTGGCACTCTGTCACTTGAACCACATCTCCACTTCCAGCTTTTTTTTGGCTAGTTAGTTGGAGATAAGATTTGTGTGTTTAAGCCAAATTCAGACTTTGTCAGTTCTCAAGCTTCCTCGGTAGCAAACTGTGCTCCAACCAAAGCAGTTCTTAAAACCAAGAAGAGCTTTTCCCTATTGGTTTCTTATTCTGAATACAATTCATATGGGAAAAGCCGAGTACATGGCTGATACTGTTGCTTTATAGGTCATCTATCTTTTAGAGTAATATACTTGTTCCCTCAACCTCCATGTGACTGATTGTGGCTAGTTTTCTTTGGTTTTTGTTTATGGAATGCGTGGATTCAAATTTACTTGATACGCTTTCCTTACACTCTATTGTAGTAATCTTCTTCATACTCAAATTGCCCTACCTTTTTTATTTTTCCCCTAGTATTCCTAAGGCTTGAACTCAGGGACAAAGCACTGTCTATGAACTTCTTTGTTCAAGGCTAGTGCTCCACCACTTGAGTCACAGCTCTACTCCTGACTTTTTAGTGATTAGTTTGGGTTAAGAATCACACAAATTTTACTCTCTGGGCTGTCTTTGAACTGCGTTCATCAGATCTCAGCCTCCTTAGTAGCTAGGATTACAAGTGTGAACAATTAGCACCTAGCTAAATTGTCCAGTCTTTGACCATTATAAGTATATATTCATTGACTTGACACCTTTATCAACCTGATGATTTTCGCTTCCTTGATACCTTACATGAGAGATATTTCACGCTTTACTTGTATTTCTATTCTAGACCAGGAGGCAGCTATCTCCCTGTGTTGCTCAGGTTCCTTAGAGTAACTTATATTTTAAGACTAAAAAGAGGTGCACATTGTCATAGGGTTAATCATTGTTTTGTTTTGTTTTTGTCAGTCATGGGGCTTGAACTCCAGCCTGGGCGCTGTCTCTGCGCTCTTCAGCTCAAGGCGAGTGCTCTACCAATTGAGCCACAACACCACTTCCAGTTTTCTAGTGGTTTATTGGAGATAAGAGTCTCAAGGAGTTTCCTGCCCGGGCTGGCTTTGATCCACAGTGGCCGTGATCCACAGTTCTCAGCCTCCTGAGTACCTAGGATTACAGGCGAGAGCCACCAGCCCCAGCTAATCATTGTAACTAGGCCTTTTTATGTAGACAGAGCTTGAGATATGCTTCTATCATACTTTTTCAATTCATATTGATATTCCCAAACTTTTCTTCGTGAACTTTCAATTCCTTCTTTCTTCTCAACACTGGTGGATAGTTAGAATATTACACAGGCTATTTGCTTTATGCCTTGTATGCACACAACAGTCTGAGAGTAAGTACATCAACTACTATCCCATGGTTACTGTGAAGATTCCCCTACCCACACACACAGATTTCTTTCCAGTATATTCTGCTAAGTATAGTCAGCCAAATCATTCTGTTGTAGTATGTCTTGCAGTACTTCCTCTTTGTATTTTTGGATCAGTTAATTATTCTTTTTGATGTTTAAATTATCCTGCTTTCAACTAGAGGTAAGCGCATTCAACTTGGCCTCTGAATCTGTTTAATATAACCCATTAGTCTTTGCTTCTTAGAATGACAGGCTGTTCCAGATTGTTCTTAGACAGTTTCTGGCCCATACTTGGAACCAGCCACACAAATACCCTGATCCCTTTTAGTGGGAAATAGTTCTCAGAGATAATCTTAAGTGTGCTAAGGGTATGCATTCAAGTCAGATAGGCTTCATTCCTAGGCTAGTCTGTGGTCTGAAAAAGGATTTCTTTTTGTTTGTTTTTTTTTAATGAACATCATTAGTTCAACTTCATAGTTTCATTTCAAATTTCACATTACGTTTATTTCTTTGACCCTATATTTGCCTTTTTATCTCTTATGCTGGAAGTCTTGGTTTCTGATGACATCAACCTAATTAATTTTATAAGTGTCTAAATATAGAAGTACACATATATAATTTTCTTAGTAGAAAGTTTTCTTAGCTATTCATAGGCTATATCTCACTAGATACTGTCATTTTATTTTAAAATCATCAAAATAATTCTTTCCCATGTGATTAAGCACCAGCCGGAAACACTGGGTTGTTTCATCTCTGCTTTAAATTTTTCAGTATGGTTTTTTTCCACTTGAATTTAATTTTGTTGTACAATTTTATACATTTTCATAGTTGGAATGCAAATCTTAAAAAAAAATAATTTGTATTTCTGTGTTCTGTCCACTCTGTTCTTTTCCACCCCCATATATAACTATTTGGGGTAACGATTTTTACTGTTTTAAGTGTGTATGTGTATTTCTCTGGATTATTATATAAAATAGAGCTTATTGGGCTGGAGGTATAGCTCAATGGTAGAACTTACCTAACTTGTAGAAGACCTGAATTCCATTCTCCTCGCCACACATACACTCAAAAAGTAAGCTTGGGTTTTTTTTTTTCTTTTTTTGACATATCAACAAATGACTATAATAGTTAAGAATTGCTTTCAGCTTGAATAGTAGCCTGATACTATTTCTATAGCCAAGATATTTTACTTGTTTCTTACTTTCAAATCTCTCTTACTTTCAAACTTACTTTCAAGTCTCAGTGGAAATTTGTAAGGATTTAGGTTCCTTGGCCTAGTGGCAAAATCCACTTCTCTCTCTCAAAATAGGTGTTTTCACTTATTTTGATGAACTTTATAGACCACAAAGCTATGACTTCTCACCTACTTTATACCTCAGACATTGTAAACTTGAAAAAAAAAATCTCTATTCATTTCAACCCCTTAACTTACATCTTCTAAGCCTGTATTATATGCATTTACTCAAGCTAAAAACCTAAAAGAAGCTTTTATTTCATTCTAGTTATTCAGATAATCTGATTATTTTATCACCAAAATAAATTTCCAGGCTGGCGTCTTTACCATGTCCTTTACCACTGTTACAATCCAGGTAGAGGTAGCCTTCCCACCCCACCTCTCACCCTGCCCCAGTTCCAGGACTTGAATTTAGGGCCTGGGTATTGGTTCCTTAGCTTTTTCACTCTACCAGTTGAGCCAGCTTTTTGCTGGTTAACTGAAAATAAGAGTCTTACGGACTTTCCTTCTCAGGCTGGCTTTGAACTGTGATTCTTAGACCTTAGCCACTGGAGTAGCTAGGATTACAGGTGTGAGCCACCCACACTGAGCCCAGGTAACCATTTTCTCTGACTGGATCACAGCCACCAGTCTTCCTGCATTCACTCATATGTCACATTTCAACCCGAGACCCTTATCACATCTAGCTGTTCATGACCTTGCCTCAACCTACAACCCTCCATCTCAGTCTCTTAAATATTCTAGGGCCATTTCCTTTCTGGACTTGACACTGCTGAATCCTCTGCCTGGAATGTTCCTTTTACTACATATATGACAACTTCCTTATTTTCTCTTGCTTTTTGGTAAACTGTCCTTTGCTCAATGTCTTTCCAGTCACTCTGTCTCAAGTTGATCTCTTAAAATTCTTTGCCTTTGTTTCTGTTATAATACCTTTTATAACTCGCAGTTTGTATGTGTTTATTTGTCCATTATCTGTCTCTTCCACAGCAGACAGGAGCCTTCTCTGTCTTACTCATTGTTATTGCTACCGATTATGAAACAGCAGGAGCTCAAGTAAATATTTGTAGGATATAGAGTCATGGAATTTTATGAAAAGCTCTACTTGCTCATACAGAACCCATTAGTTTAGTTAGGTGGCTTGCATGAACTACATAGCCCATAAGATAAACATCTTTTGAAAAGAATCTGAAACCTATCACCTTCAATAATTCTTTTATTACCTTAGATACACCCTAGGCAGTCTTTTAATTAGGAATTCTATCTTCATGTCAGCAAAACAGAAGGTAAGGAATACCCAAAGTACAAATATAAATGTAGATGGAAAAAACTAAGAGATGAAAAAATGCTATTTTTAATACTGAATAGCTTTTAAAGATTAATATCAGAATCATAATAAACAAGTTGACCTCTTGCATTGAAACTCCTTTGTGTAACTATTTAAAGATTAAAAAGTACAATTTTAGAAAGGATTGTAATAAACATGTATCTGCTGGATCTATGTCTTATTTGCTTTTAGAGTTTGAACAAGTAAATATGCATTATAATATGAACATTATCTTTTAAAACTTTTACAGGATTCAGACTTGAAGAAAACAGTGGATGAAAGTGCCCGGATTCAGAGAGCCTACAACCACTATTTTGATCTGATCATCATAAATGACAATCTAGACAAAGCCTTTGAGAAACTACAAACTGCCACAGAGAAACTGAGAATGGAGCCACAGTGGGTTCCAATCAGCTGGGTTTACTGATGATACAATAGGCTAACAATTAAAATAAAACTAGTGACTCAACAAATAAACCTTCTGCTGAGAGAATACATGCACAGATAGAAGATAATCTGCCCAATCAAGGCATTTTTATTGTGTAGAATGAAATAACAGTACACTATTCTGAATTTTTATATAAAATGTGGTTGAGAAGGTGTACTAATATATAATTTATCTTAATTTTTCTAACTTTTTATGGATAATCTTTCTATTCATATCACATAAAGAAATGCGTTGAAGCATTTTGTATGTTTTGATTTAGTGCCCTTTTTCATCAAAGGAATTTTCAGATCATTCACTCTTAACATTGGTCTCACATTTTCACTGTGATAATGAATACTTGAAATAGTTTTGTAAAGCTGTCATCTAGTTCAGTAACTAGTGAAGGGTCAGATGCTCTTATTAGAAGAAAATAGTAGTTATCAACCTTTCCTTCTTAATCAGAATTTTACAGAAGCAGGATTTGAAAATCAGTGCTATGGCTACTCTCCTACCATCTAAGTCTGATATCAGAAAATCCTTCCAGTGTCACGTATTTTACATTATTTCAGTGATTGATTGCTAATTTATACAGTAAGATTAGCTTTTTCCCCCTCGTTTCTAAACGAGTGAAGAAATGAAGAGCAATTGCACTCTCTTACAAGATTATTCTTTTCATTTGTTGCTGTGACGTGCTGATGCTAACTGACATGTATAAAATCTTGAGCCAGGTCATGCACACTGAGAGAGTGCCTTATCCTGGAAAATACAAATTCATACTTTTAAGGGTATAGTCAGTAAAACTGTGCCTCTGCAAATGTCTGTGCTGTTTAAAGATGGCTCTAAGTTTACCATTGGAAGTGTTTTTGTGAAGGATCCCTGATTTTTGAATGTGATGTTAGTGTTAGGGTACTTGTTATCTTTGTTGTATGAGGAAATCAAATCCATTGAATAATATACAAAAATTAGACATATATGTCTGTTTTATATATACACATAGTGGGTACATTATATAATATGTATCATATTTTATATACATCATAAAATATGTATTATAATGGTTTGAGGGTTTTGACATTTCTTTTAGGAAATGTACTTTTTTGCTGATAACTAGGGAAAAGCTCTTTTTAGATGCATTGATTGCCATAATATAAAAATTCCCACATTTACCTCTGTCTTTCCTTTAGGACTTTCACATGGTATAATTTTTTTCTGAAAAACATTTAGAGGTCCAGATCATTGCTAACAACTTAACCGTATTCTGTGTCACTTCCACCTTTTCATATACAGTTTTCATACTTTAAAAAAGGGTTAGGTATTTAAATATCGATGAGACTCTTTGGTGACAGATGATACCTGGCTACTGTATTTGTTTAAAGTGGAAATCTTAATCTATAGCATTTTTGTTTGTTTTTATGGGTTTTATAGCCAGAATACAAATTCTTTTCCCAAAACCTAAAAATTCCCCTTTTAATAGCATTGGAAAGTGCTAAACTATATTTGCTCCAAAATCTTGGCTTTTTGAAACAACGTAAATGAAAGCACACTACTGAGGTGAAAGCCTGTGACCTAATATTTCAATACACCATATGTTTAAGAGAAATATCAGTTCCACACGCCCAGGAAATGGATCGCGTTTCCCTAATGTACCTGCATACTGCTGCAGGAAAGCTCTTCACACAGCTTTGGGATGCCTAGAGCAGCACAGACGCTTATCCACAAAGTATTTCTACAGCTCTGCTGTGCTGAGGCCAGGAGGTTCAGAGGCCCCACCTCAGGATTTTTCCAGGTAATGTAATGAAGGAAATGTGTCCTCCTCTTACAGGAAAAGTCTGAATTAGTCAACTTCCTTATAATAGCTTTACTGAAGAAAAATGGTTTACAGTGATACTGAATAAAGGTAAACAAGGTGTGCTGATACGTAACACCTGAGGATTCCTGTGGCCAGATGAGTGTCCACATCCAGCACTCAGCATGACTGTTCATGTACATGTCCATTTTCAAACATACGGTACAGATAATACTCATGGAGGTGATGTCCCTCTGCATTCTCTCTACATTTAGCTGTAGCAAGCAGACTACGTTTGATGCTGTATAAGTAGAATTTTTACCTTTATTATAGCCTAATTTTTATTATGAAGTCCCCATTCTTTGATATTTAGGTAATATTCAATGTCAAATACATCAAGAGTCTGTTTCATTTTGGCCAACTTCATACAGTTGTTGACTATAGCTTTCCAAAAGAGAAACTGTTAATAGAAACCCTACTGCAGTAGGATTCTACACCCTAGATTGTAGAGTCTAATAGATTTATTTATTACAGCCTATAAGAAGTTTTCTTTAAACTGCAAATTGGTTAAGACACACCCACAGTTTAACCTAAATTAGCAATAAAATCCAGTGGTATAATTTTATGACCAGATGCTGTTTTGCCCATGCTAAGCTAATGACAATAAAATCCTTATCTTAAAATTTTCATGTATAACAAGTGTCATGATCCAAAGATTTGAGTTAATTTTTAAGGTAAGATCGCCATAGAATTATGTATTGTTATTTTAAATTCAAAATCTGAACGTTTGTAAATCACTTAAAATAATTTACTTAGTAATGTTACTTGGATAACTTCTGAAAAACTCCTTTATTCAGAATCATGGATTAGAGAGCCAATAATTTTATAATATCCAATCTTTATACTAAATATGAAAACGGCAATCCTAAAATTTTATGTACATAAGTAGTTCATTTTTAAATGTTGAGTAGCTGTAGCTATGTGTATAAATACATATATACATATATAGACACAGCTATGTGTAGAATATTTAATATTCTCCAAAAATACATGAATAATAAAAATATTTACCCATATAAATGGTTTTCTAAAATTTTTCATTATTCCTTAATTTATTAGACATTCTGAAATAGTTTGTTTTTAAAGGCCCTGGTTCAACTCTGAAGCTGATACTAATTTCCTTTCAGAAAAATATGTGAGAAATTAAACTCAGAATATTGTTCTAATGTAATTTCCCCAAGAAAAAACAGAGTTCTAGATAGAAGCCTCTTGGGAAAAGCATATTTGAACTTCAAATGAATTTGTGCCCTGATCTAGTCTTAAAGATTATAATACCCCACCCCTCCTCTTTTTGTTTTTGTTTTGTTGTTGTTTTGGTTGGTTGTGGGGCTTGAACTCTGGGCCTAGGCACTGTCCCTGAGCTCTTGAGCTCAAGGCTAGTGCTCTACCACTTGAGCCACAGCACCACTTCCAGTTTTCTGGTGTTTAGAAATAAGAATCTCAAGGATTTTCCTGCCTGGGCTGGCTTTGAACTGCGATCCTCAGATCTCAGCCTCCTGAGTAGCTAGGATTACAGGCGTGAGCCACCGGTGCAGCACCTCCCTTCTTGTCCTAAGGGGTTTCCTGTGAGAATATTTGGGTAATATGTATAATGTATTTGGAGCTCCTGGGGAAAACTCAGTATTTTTAATGATGGCATTATTATGTGTAGTGCAACTGGATATTACTCACAAGCATGTAAGAAGAATACACCTTGCCAATAATTAGGCATTGTGTCGGTCTTTATGTAAGTATGTGTGATAGGCCTGATGCTGGTGGCAGTTCTCTGGTATTTTAAAATAGGGTTATCATTAAACTGCATTTTTTAACTCTTTGCAAATTACATTCTTTTTAAAGAATATTTTATTATATTTCATCATGTTAACATCTGTGTGCCTGGAATGAGTTGTGAAATACCCAGGATCAAACATGAATCCTTAATGTGTACAGGAATGATAGTGGCCCACTTGCCAGGTAAGGAACATGGTTTCCACAGCTTTGACAGCACCCTGCAGTCACGATAAAAGTAAAACTAGTGTGCTTGTACTGCTGGCATCCTAATTCTGACTCTAGTTCTTGATAAAAATTTATACATTCATTTATCTTTACTATTACCCATGTTGCATAGGGCTTCAGTTAATATCACCTTAAGTTATAAAGCCAAGAAAGGTAATTTGTAAATGTGATGTGGTAAATCTTTTAGACTATTTATTAAATATGTTCACGTACATTTGAGCTTGTTTATCTTCTAGTTCCTTGAAGTCCATTTCATCTTGAGGTGATGCAGCTGATGGTAAACACCATTCAGGCCCGACCTTGGGGTTTGAGACAGCCATTCCCCCGCTCCCCCCCGCCCTCAAGCATGCAGTTCCAGCCTGGTTGAGGGTTTGTGCTGCCCTTTTGGTAGTGCTGTAGGACCACTGAGTCCCATTCTAGAATCCCACTCCAAATCCAGACAGTATAGACTCTGGTCCTTACCACTGCAGCCCCTGTTTAAGCCATTAATGTTAGGAAGAAACAGTCACAGTTCAGTCAAATTAATGAACCTCGAAATCCAGATAAGAATTATTTCTCTTAATTACTTCTCCACCATTGGCTGATAATTCAGATAATTCAATGGTGTGACAAATCTAACTACACACACAAAAGGTCAAAAACAACAGTTCCTTTCTTTTTCCTGCTTTCTCATCTCCAGCACAGACTGAATGAGTGTATCAGAGGAAGTAAATGCCACTTATAGCTTGAAAGTTAAATTATTGCTTCTAAAACAACTGTCTTTGAATGTCATGATACGGGTATTAGTGTTACCACAAAATAGAGATAGTCTGATTTTTATGGTATTGAGGATTGAACCCAAGACCTTTTACCTACTAAGTATACATTCCACCACTGAACAATAAGTCCAGACCCTGATTTTAAAATAACTGTCTTTATAGTACTTCAGCTAGCCAGAGAAAGCAATATATGTAAATATGAGGCCATACTTAAAATTTCCTTTTTTTCCTTCCAAAAATCTTAGAAGAATCCTTCTGAGTCTAAATTAAGAGAGCACAGTATTAAAAGCTCATCAGCTCACACCTGTAATCCATACTAGCTACTTAGGAGACAGAGACCTGGAGGATCAAGCTTCAAAACCAGTCCAGGCAGAAAAGGCCATAACTATGTCCAATTAATGAGCAAAAGAAAACTGGACTAGAGATGTGACTCAAGTGTGGTACAGTGTCAGCTGTGTGAGAAAAGGCACTGAGTTCAAGCTCCAGTTGCAGCACATACACAAAATCATCAGGGTGGGGATGCAGTATGCAACTGCATGCTAGAATACTTGGCATAAAGTCTTAGGCTCCATCCGTGAGCAGCAGCCGCAACAATGACAAAATCTCATCAGAAATAAATTACACAATATCAAAAAATAAGGTCATCATCTCCTTAACAGGAGAGGTGGGTTCTGCCCACCTCTGTATGTCCTTTGTATGTCCTTGTTTTGAGGACATAACAAAGCTTATAAATATGCTCCAAGTGGTTACCTTAGTCTTTTCAGGAAGAACCAGATAGGATGTCAGAGTTTATATCTATACTTGAAGTACAAAGTAAATATTTTCTAAAGTTATGTGTCCTCTTTTAAAAATACTGCTGACTGGCTGCTGTCTTGTCCTTAACTTTTGTTAAGCAGACTCTTGTATCTGCAGCCGCAGTAGGGACCCAGTGACTGCAGTGTTCTGTGTGGAACTTGTCAGCTCTCTCAGAGCCCATGAAGAGTAGGTGATGCGAAGAACCTGGTTGTGGCTTTCCTTTTTTTTTTTTTTAATAATGTCTGCCTCTCCCCTTCCCCCAGTTCATTTCAGTATAGCTTTTAAATACAAATACATGCTCTCTTTGTAGTTTTTTTTTTCCCCACAGAAGAGGCAATATGTTTATTAGTCATCAAAATCAAAGCTGAGCAAAACTGTTTAGATTTCTGATGAAAAAGTTTAAACACTAAGTACTACAGTTGTCCCAGTAACTGTATCACCACTTCCTATTCCTTTTTCTTTTTTCTTTTTTTTTTTTGGGGGGGGGTCTGGTCGTGGGCCTGAACTCTGGGCCTGTGACCCTGTCCCTCAGCTCTTTAGCTCAAGGCTAGCGCTCTACCACTAGGGCCACAGCACCACTTACGGCTTTTTTTTTTTCTGCTTATGTGGTGCTGAGGAATCGAACCCAGGGCTTCATGTATGCAAGGTAAGCACTCTACCACTGAGCCACCTTCCCAGCCCACCACTTCCTATTTTTGTATAAAATCTTATTGTTCTTGTATAAAATTTTCTCAGTCCAATTAAGCATTCAGTTTTCAGAAATTTCTTATAACTCACATATTTCCATTTATTATCCAAGACAAAATTGATTGAAATATTCAATTTGTGAGAGCCCTGGTAAAATTTTTGTACTAAAAAAGGTAGTGTTTTGCTGGGACCTGGTGACTCACACCTGTAATCCTAACTATTCAGGAGGCTGAGATCTGAGGATCATGGTTTGAAGCTAGCCCAGGCAGGATAGTCCATGAGACTCATCTCCAATGCACTACTGAAAAAATAGCTGGAAGTGGTGCTGTGGCTCCAGTGGTACAACACTAGCCTTGAGCAAAAAGGAGCTCAAAGATAGTGCCCAAGCCCAGAGGCCCAGTTAGGGTTTGGGGGTACAGGGGAGAGTTTATAGGTAGAGGACAGGGTATCAGATCAGCATTGTCAATTTCCTTTACTGCCAGTAGTCTTTGTATGGTCTCTTGTGTGGTTTAGTTTCTCTGACCTAAGTAAAATTTTTGCCTGCCTTGCTTATTCTGACTTCAGAATCAGAACTTCAGCATTGGAGGAGATAAAATGTAAGAACAAGATCACATACAGATTGCTTAGTTGTGGTGGCTGTTTCCCAGGAATTCCTGTTGGCCAGGAATGAATAGGCTCTGCTGTGTATCACAGCCCTGGGCCTGCAGCCCCTTAGAGAGGAGCAGTGGCTAGCAAGCAATGGAGATGGGCAGGCCCTTTACAGGAAGGGCTCTTTGCAGATGATTTCCAGGAGTTCACGTCACACTTGAGAAAGTGCTAGTCTAGTATAGCATGTCTCCACACCAGGCTTTTATATTGTTCATTACTCCACATGATGCTCCATCTTACCTACAACCTTTGTCTTTTAATTCAGAGAACGATCCATAAAGATGTCTAAGAGGAATACAGGAGTCTCCTTGCCTCTTGTCCCAACATCTTAAGTCCCTAAACACAAATGAACACTTCCAGGTTTCTTGTGATACATACACTTTTATACTAGGAGGTTCTTGGTACACATTCTCTTTGCAGTTTATTCTTTACATTGATGTCAGAGAACCAGACAAAAAGGGACCTATGGTGCCACTAATTTAGCACAACTACTTCACTTGTATATTCTTTCCACTTTGTGTAGAAGGTAACTGTTTTTGAAGTCACTACCACAGTGTGCAACTTAGATCCTTTCCCCCACATATAATAAGCACTTGCCTAAGGCTAGTCTCATTTTCAAAGAGGTAATGAAAGTATTATTTGCTTTATTTCATCCTTGTTCATGTTTCTTAAAATATGAAAGGACAAAGGGTGGACGTGGGTGGTGAAGGAAAAGAGAACATACTAATGTGCTTCTCTCCTCATCCCAGGGCCTTCCAATCCCTGAAGGCTGACAGACCCTGCCCTTGGGATCAGCAGCCCTCAGGGAGACAGCCTTAAGCCTTTTCTAGCAGACAGCCATCAAAACAAAAGGGCAAAATACACTTCAACCTTCCCTTTGATCAAAAACAGTATACGACATTTTAGGTACCCATAATTCATAAGAATACCACAGTCATAGAATTAGTCTACTCATGGGCTGGAGGTCTGGCTTAAGTGGTAGAGCACTCAAGTAAGGAGCCCAAGGCGATGAATGCAAACACCAGAACCACCAAAGGAAGAAAAAGGAATTAGTACGTTCATCAGTGCATGTTCAAATAATGTTCAAATAAAATGTACATTAGCTAGACTCCCAACAAGGAAGGACTACTGTTGTAATACTTAAACATAATTTTGTTTTGCGGAGGTTTTAGGGAAATTGTGTGTGTGTGTGTTCATACACGCTAGTGGCATTTACAGTTCATTTTTCAATCACCAAAATTCACAGCACTTCCAAAATGTAACTTCTTCTGAGAGGATACAGAAATTGCTTTCCCATAGTATTCACAATTTAAAATGAATTTTGGATTAAAGTGTTCAAAGATTCATGTTATTGTATAACAAAGCCAAGAAGTATATATAAAAGAAACAATGAATGGTCCATTATTCTTCAAGGAACAGGTTTGAATAGGCACTAGCTTAGCATCTCAGCTCCACAGGTGCTGGAATCTAGCACAGGCCTCTGGAAAACAGCAGTTCTAATAAGAGTACCTACTGGCATTCATAGTACAAAACATCGCCTCTTAAAGTGCTCTATAAATATGTTCATTGATCACCTTTTAATGTGCAATTAGACCTAAATCCCAAAGTAGTACCCTAACAATTCTAAAGAGCACCAAGGCTTGGTCCTATAACATATACTGACAGACAGCTAGTGTTCCCTGCCTAGTGCATCAAGTCCACTCAAGGCAATACAGAGAATTAGCGGGAGGACTTGAGAGTCCCTGAGGATGATGGCTTTCACAGATGACTGCATTCTCTCCAGGTTAATGTCGGCCAAGGCAAATAAGCGCTGCACAATCCCAAACCTTTCTGTGTCTTTCAGAGGAGCTAAGGCTGGGTCTTCAAGATCAGATATCTCATCATCTGACAGAGCATGCAGCTGAAATGACAAATTTAAGCTTATTTTAAAATGCCATTGAAAATCCATGGACTTAGACACTAATGCATTGCTCAGTAAGAAAGCAACAAGGGGCTGGGAAGGTGGCTCAGTGGTAGAGCGCATGCCTTGCATGCCAGAGGCCCTGGGTTCGATTCCTCAGCACCACATAAGCAAAAAGAAAAAAGCTGGAGGTGGCGCTGTGGCTCAAGTGGTAGAGCGCTAGCCTTGAGCTGAAGAGCTGAGGGACAGTGGCCAGGCCCAGAGGTCAGGCCCCACAACCAGACCCAAAAAAAGAAAAAAAAAAGCAACAAATAGTTTAAGTCCCCAAATAGATCAGGTAAACCATTAATAAGGTATATTTTATATTTTGTTCCAGGCTAGAATCTTAAGCCTGGTTTTATCCAGTTTGCCTGTAGTCTTCTAAATCCCCACTCTGAACTATGCCTGCTAGACCCAGTAACTCCAACAACTGATGAGAAAAGTCAGTGGTACCTTTCTCACACACCATTATGGAAGGGTTTGTCTAGGTTTTTTTTGTCTTGAAGCACATTTGTGGCATGTTACAGTAATATGTTATACCATGCGTAATTAACTTCAGGTAATAAGGATTTACATCTCTTTAAGGAATCACTTTTGTATTTGGTAAGAATGTGCTACTCAGGGCTGGTAAGAATGTGCTACTCAGGGCTGGCAATGTGGCTTAGTGGTAGAGTGCTTGCCTAGCATGCATGAAGCCCTGGGTTCGATTCCTCAGTACCACATAAACAGAAAAAGCCAGAAGTGGCACTATGCCTCAAGTGGTAGAATGATAGCCTTTAGCAAAAGAAGCTCAGGGACAGTGCCCATGCCCTGAGTTCAAGTCCCAGGACTGGCAAAGTCACTCCTAGTTTGTATGTGGAATATATAAACAGTTACCCACTGTGTTAAATAGGAAATAATCCCTCTTCTGTTTTGATGCCTCTTGATCTTCATTCTCCTTTGAGTTCTTCTTTGAACCCATG